TTTATATATATATATATATATATATATATATATAAATAATCGAGTCAAAAACAATAACAGAAATCAAGCAAAAATAAAAACAAAACAAATAAAAACTGTAAAAAAATAAAAAGATATACACAGATGAAACATGCATCTTCATGGTTGTAACACCAGGGCCTAATTTAAATTGCCATTTCCATTCTACCTTTCAATGATATTCCTGGACCTGCATGGGCTTTCTTCCAAGTACTCCTTCTTTTTCTACCACCAAAGAAACATGAATATTAATACTGCTATGTGGGAAAATATATATATATACATTTATATATATAAAGTGTGTGTGTGCACGTGTGTGTGTGTAAAGAATTGTTTCTATGTGTTACTTGAATAATTACATTGTAATTATGTGGTTGATTGCACAGCAAATGTATTAACAAATTTATAAAGTTCTGCTTAAAACAAAACATCACATGCCTACATCACAGTACAGCATTGCAAAACTATATTTCTCTTGCTTATAGATACATTTGTGTTGCGACTGCGTTTCTGCTGATTGAAAGCAAAATATATGTATGTATATAAAGGTATTTTCCGTCACTTGGTTGTTTTGTCTGGCACCTCTACGCACCTGCAATCCTGCCGACATCTCAGTTTGAAACACCTGTGCGATGTAATGCAATTCTTAGATAAATTCCTGTTGTGTCCACTTGAGATGAAAGCTCTCTTCTGATCTCACCGGATAAACTTTTTTTTTTTTAATCAACATGTAGTTTTGAAAGTCAAAGGTTATTTGGAGTGTGTAAATATCTCAAAGCTATTCCTTTTATCCATCCATTTAAACCATGACCACTTTCTGACAAAAAGTGTGCAAATTGGCATTTCCTCTGCAAATAAAAGCCTCGAAATGTCTAAAGCAAATTGGAATGAAAATTAAAGTGATCTCTCATATTTATATTTCTGTTGCAGCGCTTGGTAATATTTCTGCTGAAGCAAATCCAGGGCATTCTGCTCGCTAGTCTTTATTGGTGTCAGGGTGATTTCATCTGTAAGTTATTATAGAACGGCTTTAAGGAACTTCCTATCTCTGCAGCCGCCAGCCAATCACACAGCAGATGCGAAGAGGAAGTTGGGTTAGGGAAATTCCTAAACAGCTGTGCGGTAGCCACATGCCTGCAGTCCACCGCAGGAAGCTATAGATTACCGTACCCCACCACCTCACCACAGCAGCAGCGTTTGAAGGACGCTGCTGCTGCTGCTGTGAAGTATCTGCAGATGCATGCTCACACAGAGCAACAAAAAGGCAACAAAGAAAAAACAAAAAAAAAAACAAAAAAACCAGCAGAATAACATGACAGACACACAAGTAGGATGAGAACACAATCAACTTGGCAAGCGTGTTAGTGGGTCTAAGACGTAGACTTACAATCATAGTCTCTACCTGGATGAATTCATGGAGGGAGACGTCGTGCGTTTCTTTGAACTCTTTGCGAATGTTGAAAAGGTCAACCTCGCTACGGGACACCATGATGCGGATCAGGGCTCTGTCGTCCGTACCAAGTCCCTGAAGAAGAAGAAGGTCGTGCTTACTAGTCATACTTTGCTTATTCTAATTTGCAGAAGATTTAAATACACATTACTTGGGAAAAATCCGAGAGAACTGCCGACTTTAGCCCCTCGTTTGTTGTTTTACAGTGCCAACACAATAGATTGCATTACATATTAATATTAAAAGGACAAACTTTGTGGATAGTTTTCTTCGAAATGGGTAATGGGTCAAACTCAAAATTCTTAATGCAATAACATGTGTGGTCAGGAAATAAGACTCTATTGATTTATCGGCGTGTCAGGCGCCACTGTCTTGCTAATGCACCCACTAAAGGGCCATTTTATCTTTGGTCTAAAGCAGTGGGATCTAATATTTTGCATTTTGATTTATTTAAACAGATCCATGATAACGTTGGCAGGGCCTCCATGCTTTAAACTGCTGTTTGAAATGAGTAGTTTCTTGGGTCAAGGCAGTTTATCAGGAAGAACGATCTTGCTTTCATAAGTCGAAAAAAAAAAAGTTGCACCCTCTCCGTTTTGGCCAGTCTCTGTGCTCTCCAGCGAGCTTGAGGGGGGCTTCTTGGCCGTTGCTTGGCTCCACATAGGCGTCTACCCTTCACCCGTCTTGCCTACTGGTGGTGGTAGCCGGCGTATGGCAGCCTCGTTTCTGTCAGTGTGCCCCAGGACAAGCCGTAGCCATGACCCTGTAGCTTTACGCCATCAGCGTGTGAATGTGTGCTTGAATGGGTGAATGACTGAATATCGCCATTCCTTGTCTAATCAAAGTAAGCTGTTCTTTCTCTATACAAAGAAAGAATCACCTCAACGATCGAACGTCACACAGTTATTATTTTAAACTCACCCCTCTCAAATAAGGATTCAGAAACATTGAATCAACAGCAGGCATTTAATGGTCCAATTGGGTTTCCAATGACCTACCCTACCTCACCCACTTGCAAATTATTTTCCATGCTGAAAAATATGATTTAATGGAAAAAAAAAACAAAAAACAGAAAAAAACAGTGACACACTGACAGCTTAGTGATTCTGTATGTGTGACCAATACCTTCATGGCTTTATACAAACGGTCTGCAAAGTAAGACGGCTGGTTCTTCACGCTGCGAACTGAACAATACGACAGAGAATGAGGGACGTCCAGGGAGGCGTCACAGAACAGACGATGTCAGCAAAGTCCACTATATATATATATATATATATATATATATATATATGAGTATGACACTTAAGAATCGATGCAGCCATTACCTATCGCATAAAAGGCATTTTTGACGTCGCCAGACATTTCCTTCTTGATAATCTGCTCAATGTCCTTGTTGGTGCATTTGACAAACTCCTGGAACACTGTGATGAGTACAAAGAGCAAAATCACTGAGTGCTGGGACAGAGCCGCCGCCCGGCTTGGAGCTAGATTTGCAACTAGGGCATTGCTATTGATTCAGATTTGATCTTTACCTCTCCTGAGGTGTGGGAAGCTCCTGGTGCACAGGATGCTCATGAACTTCATCTCCATCTCATCAGACTCTGCGTTGCATGCATCTGCAAGTTCCTGATTTGTTACAAAAAACAGAGCCGGAGAGAAAAAGGCAATGAATGGATTTGTCTGCATTCTAGAGAGTAAAACAAAATGAGATGAAGTCACAAGCTGCTTCACCTGAGCGTCTGCACAGGCTCTTTCCACATCTGCAGGTCCTTCTTCTCTTGCACCCTGACCATAGCAAATAAGGTCAGATGTAAATTTTGATGTGCCCACCTTTGATCTACTGAATGTCAGCGGTTAACCACAAACGTTGTTATCCTCAGTGCAAGAAAAAAAAAAAAAAAGTATGTCACGACATTCTGAAGGAAATAAATGAGGTGAATAAGTAGATCTTTGTGCCTGCGAGAGTCAGGCGGAGCTGAGAAAACAAACCAGACTTTCAGCCAGTGAGTGGGCGTGGAAATTACACGCAGACTGAGTTCTCATGATGATAATGATGATGATGATGATGATGATGATTACCTGCACCAGAGAAACAAGGATGCGACAAAAGTGGCCCGATGTGTCTGAATGAATGGCGTCCTCCAAAGACTTCTTGTAGCCTGTGAAGCACAGTTTTTCAGATCCAGAGTGATATTAGATCTTGATTTAAATCCCAGACTCACCTTCTCTGTAGGCAGCGTTCATGGCTTGTATTTCCTCGTTTTTTCTGGTAACTAGGATCTCAATCAGAGCGTGCTCATCCGTCCCGGCTCCCTGTTAAAATTACACACAAAAAAAGAAAAATTTTCACAAAATTGTCACTAAGATCTTGCATCTAGAAGGAAAGCACGTGGGGATCTAGTTTGCAATCACCAAAATTACAAAAGTGCAATATAGGAGAGGACTCGACACCGCAGTGCTAAAGAGCAACCTTCATGCTTTTAGGCTGATGAATCAGAGAGCTTATTGCTTTTTTAAATGTAAAAAGACACACAGATTGAACCCCAGTTAGTTTTCCTCGACTTTAAAAAAAACAAAAAGTCTCGTAGTGTTTGCGTCGTGTTCC